AAGAGAATACAAGATTGGAGTGAGGGATATAGTGCTTATTATGAACTTCTAAAGAGTCAAGACAGCGCAGGAATAAGAAAAAGATTCAGACCAGGATCTGGAGTAAGGACTGGGTCTAGGTGAGCACCTTAGAACTAAAGCTAGACACAGTCTCAATGTGCTGGAGCTGTGCCCCTTTCAGGGAGTGTGTGTGTGTGTGTGTGTGTGTGTGTGTGTGTGTGTGTGTGTGAAGAACTGACAGGGTTGCTCAGCATCCATTTCAGCTTGTGACATAAGAAGGTTTTAACAAGTATTCCTTGATTTTTTGCTAAAATTGAAAATAGTTTTAATATTTTGGATGAGCTCCAAGGACAACAACATAGTTGATCAAAGTCAAAAGGCAGTCTTAACCCCCATCCCCTGTAATATATACTGAATTTAGAAACTTCTACTGCTGTATACACAATCAAGTTCTCTATAATTGATATTTTAGTGAGGTGATAGTACAGCTGTCCCCCCAGTATTGAGGATTGGTTCCAAATACCACAATCTGCAGATGCCTGAGGCCCTTATATACAATGGTGTAGTAGTTACACATAACCTATATACAGCCTCCTGTACACATTTATCACTTCAAATCTATGAAAATAGTTGTTATATTCTATTATTTAGCAAATAAGGGCAAGAATAGAAGTTCATACACGATCAATACAAATTTAAGCTTTCTTTCAAAAACTGCATCTTCCATCCATGGTTGGTTGAATCCACTGATGTGGGACCTCAGGACACAGATGGCCAATTGTAGAGATAAAACAGAGAGACTGGAAAAGGAATTTGAAGGTCACCATACACATGGTTTTACATAACTAGCAGTTCTCTTCCAAAGTCCAGCAGAATTGATGAGGAAGAAGGAAATCCCATTTTGCCCCCAGAGATTTCTCAGGCCCAACTTAACATAACAGCAGTAACAGCTGCTACTTCTTTATTGAATGCTTATGATTTGCCAGGCACTGTGCTAAGTGCTCACATTTATGATCTCACTTCATCCTCTAAGGTATATTGCTATTTTGTCTGCAGTGAGGGTGCCCAGGCCCAGACACTTGTCATTGCCTACCTGATACTCACTCCCCCTTTTTCTTTGCACAAACAATATTGTTCTTTGCTTTTCAGGGAGACAATGTGTTCAGCTCTAGAAAACCAGTCAACAGTGGCAATTCTGTTTGCTTGGATACTCCCTGCTTCCCCGTACACACTCGCCTCCTTTCTGTTGGAGGTGACGAGTGTGTATGGAAAAGCAGGGAGTTTCTGTTGGAGGTGGCATTCCAGGGAGTGGCTTTTGAATGATATATAAATTGGCAGGAAAATGACAAGATTACAGCCATTCAGTGTTACACACTAAAATAAGGGAGTTGTGTGCTTAAAATAGACAAGTGTATTTATTTGCTTGGCTAGAACAGAGTCTGAGAATAATTTTTAAAAATTATAAAAGAGGCAGGGAAGAGCAATGTATGGTCTTGAAGGGACATCAAAAGACTCTATATTTATTTATATAGGTAAATTTATAAAGTAATATAGGATTAGTGTAGATATTTATAAAAAGCCATATGATGGAAAATTATTTGGATAACTCCATCTTTGCATAAACTAAAGCCAATTGTCCAGCTGGGAGTTTCCAGCAATTGACCTTGAACAATGTGAAGGGGATAAAACTCTTAGTAATAATGTGGAGAAAGAAGCTGCAGGACTTAGGGCTATTTAGTATAGAGAGATAAAAGACAGGAGTCAAAATTACACCCAGTTACTCATCTAACAATTGAAAATGTCAAGAAATTAATTTTGTATTAAACTGCCTGGAAGGCTTAGGAAAAAAATGAAAGAAAACTTTGCTGAATACTACCCTGAAAAAACAGGCCCTGTTTTTCAGATTGAATTTCTTTCCATTATTTTTGATAAACACCTGATTGTGCTATAACTCAATACCTGAATGGTTTACCAACTCTTTTTACCAGGGCTCTCTCTTCCACTTCGTCTTCATATCCATTTAACATGTGATTCTTGTAAATTTTCACAGTTGAAAAACAAATAGCTGGCTGAACTCTCTGCTTCAGTCTTTTGGATGCTTCACTTCTTGGTAAGTGGTCAGTATTTTGATACTGCTATAGTAATAACAGGAAATGATGTGTTAAAATCTGGATCTCCAGTTACAGATGAATGCCAGTGTAAAGAGGAGAGCTCGTTTCTAAATAAAGTCTATAAAAACAGTTTGGAGAATTATTTCTAAGACCACAGGGAGAAAACAGTCATTTGCTCTCAACAATAGAAAAGCGAATGCATAGCAGAAGGAGATCTTAGGGTGATCAGTGAACTTCAACAGGGGAGTCGGTGGCTACAAATGTAGCAATTTTGACTGAAATGGTAAATGCTAGAGCATCAATCAAGGTAACATTGAATGTCATCTCGGGAAATAAATATTCATTCAGAAAAAGCTTCACAATCAGGTAGAACAATTCTAAACTGGTCCAATGGTAAATGTGCTTGCTTGCAAAATAGAAGTTGGTTCTGTTTACCAAAAAAGAGAAAACAAACAATGCGGGTGGAGCTAGTCCTGGAATAAAGTGAAGGTACTTTCATATAAAATTGAAAAATAGACTGGCTAACGGTACTAAAATTATCTTTTACTTTTCATATAAAAGTGCCATTGATTATACATTTTCTTAGTCTTATAGCATCGAGTTTTCCAAATAGGTTTAAGTTTTTTCCTGTTAATAGAGTAAATCGACATCATGGACAATTAATAAACCAATCCCAGAAGCTTTCTCCTTTCTCATCTTCCTCTCTCCAAGGCTTTCTGGGTACAACTGAGCGAAGCCAGAACAGGCAGCACAGAGACTTCCCTGTAGAGGGTTGGTAAAGAGCCTTGTACATCAAACATTTCCCAACACCATACTCCAGGGAGTCAGAACAGAAGCCAGGAAAGCCAGAACAATGTGGGCAAAAGATAATCTTGGCTTAAAAGATCTACAAAGCAAAAATGTTCTCATATAACCATAACTGCACAAATTAAATTTCCTAATGTTTTAATGTAATGTTTTGAAATTGTTTTAAAAATCTAATTGATAAATTAAAACTAATAACCTAGAATTCAATTAAAAACAATACATGATGAACCAATATTTTTCCAGTTAAGAATTTTAAGCAAAAACAATTTTGTAAAACACTAGAGATAGATGTTATCAAATAAGTTATATATAATTATAAAAGCTATTTTGATGTTATCAAATAAGTGATATATACTTGATTCTCTGCTAAATTAACAGAATGGATAAAAGAATGTATGGAGTCTAAAATTACTTTTCAAGATTTGTCTTGAGTTTTAGTCATTGAATGCTTTTAAACAGGAGTAAATGAAAATGGACAAAACATCACTTGGATCTTCTGAATATATAAATCATCTGTTTCAAATTAATTGTTGTGACTCATATAAAAACAATGACAGTCTGGATTCAAGAATGAGTTTGAAAAGTGAAAAACTAGCTGATATCATAGATAGTATTTCTTTCCAAAATTCCACCTCCTCCAAAATGTCTTCAGATTCACCTCTATCTTCCTGGAACAAGAAGTAAACTTTCCTTTCTCCTCTGCACTCTAATTTGCCAATTAATTATCTTATCACTTTCTATTTCTGATTTGATTAAAGAGGTAATATTTTGCTAGTGGACTGTAAGCCAATGGAAAGCAAGGCATGCATCCAATTTGTCTTGGTTTCCTTAATACATCTGTTTAATACCCAAAATCTAGGCACCCGCACACACACACACACACACACACACACACACAAATCAGTTGAATGAAGTGGTCCTTTTGAAGAGTTGTTCATTTATAGTGTTCTGTGACTAATTTAAAATTCCACACTAAAAACACTGGATAAAATTACCTTTAAGCTATGTATTATATGAAACATAAATGAATCTCATGTTTGGAAACTTGGGTTCCCATCCCCAAGATATCTCATTATGTATCTACAAAGTATTTCAAAATCTAAAATATCCCAAACTCAAAACACTTCTGGTTCCAAACATTATGGGTAAAGGAGACTGTATCTGTATTACAAAGCTGTATGTTTTCTACTTTTACTCCTTTTCTTACGTTTACACATGAACAATTGTATGTGAACATTCACATACAAATCTTTATATGGACATAGGCTTTCATTTCTCTAACAAATGTAGGAATACAATGGACCAGTCACATAGTTTGAGCTGGTGAAGCTCAAATCTTTTGCTCACTTTTTAAGTGGATTGGTTTTTCTTTTGACTGGGGAATCGTAAGAGTTCTTCATATATTTTAGACACAAATATCTGTCAGATATATAATATTCTTTTGTTTTGTTTTGTTTTTCTGTGGTGCCAGGGATTTTTATGTGTTTATTTAAAATCTTTATAAAAAAAACACTTTTATTTATTTTTAAAAATTTCACAGGACATGTTATATCCAGGAAATGATCGTGTCACACCAAAGTTTGAAACTAACTATAAGTATTGCTTGAATTGAGATAAACAGCAGATTATAACATTAGTCTCCAACATAATATTGTCAGAATATAGATAACCCTAGGGTTATAAGTGTTTCATGGAAGTAAACATAAGACAATTAATGATATTCCCAAATCAGATGGTTCTTATCTGACAGCTAATATCAAGTTCATTTTGACACTATTTTTTTTTAAAGATCCAGTATTTTAAAAAATAAGCTTCCTTTAATGAAAGGTGTGTGTGTTGGGGGTAACCTTGACTTGTTAGAGGTTATATACACTTTGGTAAAACATAGTTTTGTTCTCAAATATGCAATGATCACTACATGAAATGATCAACTGGTTGATTTAGAAAACTGTGTATATACTGAAATTTTCAGTTAAACTAGTTTTTTTTTAATACAAGGGAAATATACAGATTGGCTTTGAATTCTTTTTTAGTAAAGTAAAATCTATGAGCTTAATTGTATGTTAAAGAAAACTGAGACAATAAGATCCAAAATTTATTTATCAAAGTTAAAATACTTTTAAATGTATACAAAATTGCAAAATAACTGAAGCATTTTTCAATAAAGATCTCCAACATAAAATGTTATAACAGAACAAAACAAAGGATTCGTCACTTTTGCTCCACTTTAAAGTCACCTTATTGAACGATACATCATGAAATCGATAGTTGTACATCTAGGAAATTTACCAATAGAGCTCTCTTCCACTGGTGTGTATATTTTAATTTGTCTCATATGGGTATCTCTCCCATTCTGGTGATTGGCTAGAACAGCAATCTGTATCATGAATGTTCGAGTTGGCTTCTTATGATTATCAGTTAAGGGAACATGAATCCAGCCACTTGGTTCCACCAATTCAAGTTGCTAACAAGAAAAAAGAAAGTCAGATTATGATTTCACTCAGTGAATATAACAATAATGTTTAACAATGAATGCATTGTAAAATTAAATTAACATTTGTCCACTGAGAGAATAAAAATATGACACTAACCATTACCAGTTAGCATGTACTTTTACCCGATCTACTTTTACAGCTGCAAAGCATTTTATATGTATCATATTAGTAGACAAAATAAAGGTATGTAATCATGGGATTAACAGAACACTGTATAACTTATATAACATCAGAAAGCACACGTCTCTGCAGCCTTTAAAAATATGTGAAGTGGTACAAATCTATAATTCTAGCAACTCAAAAGAGATTGAAGCAAGGAGATCACAAGTTCAAGTACAGCCTCAGCAATTCAGAGAGGCACAACACACTAGAACTACTCACTCCTAGTTGCAACTTAGTTTTCACTGATCAACCTTTCCAATTTTTCCCCTGAGCCTCTGGTAACCACCATACTATGCTCAGTTCTATGAAACAGGCTTTTAGAAGTTCCACATATTGAGTAAGATTGTACAGTACTTTTCTTTTTGTGCCTAATTTATCTTAACATAATCATCTCCAATTCTATCCATGTTGTCAGGAATGACAGGATTTCTTTCTTTTCTATGGCTGAATAGTAATCTATTGTGTGCGCGTGTGTGTATTCTTTATCCACTCATTGGTTAATAGACACTTAGGCTATTAACCATTTGTTAATTTGTTAACCATCCATTTGTTGGCTATTGTGAACAGCGCTGTCATGAACATGAAGTGCAGATGCCTCCTTGACATACTGATTTCATTTCCTTTGGATATATACCCAGGAGTGGTATATATGGTATGATATGGTAGTTTTTTATTTTGAAAATTTTGAAGAACCTCTACACTGTTTTATATAATAGCTATACTACTTTACACTCCCCAACAGTGTGCAAGGGTTCCTTTCTTCCATACCTTCACTTACCAGCCCTTTTTATCTTTTTTCCCCCCTTGGCTGCTACTGAGAATCAAACACAGGGTCTTGCACATCTGAAGCACACACTACTACTGAGCTAAACCCCCTACTACTGGGCTACACCCCTAGGCTGATCTTTTTGTCTTTTAGATAGTAGCCATGCTTACTGGAGTGAAGTGTATCTTACTGACATTTTGATTTGCACTTCTCTGATAATCTGTGATCTTGAACATTTGTTTTATATGCCTACTGGCCATTTGTATGTCTTGCTAGAAATTGTTGGAATTTGATTTTTTCTGACTTCCTTATGTATTCTAGACATTAAATCCTTATCACATGTATAGTCTGCGAATATTTTCTCCCATTCTGTAGGCTGTTTCTTCACTTTGATGATTGCTTCCTTTGTTATACATAAAATTAGATATAAAAACATTTGTCTATTTTTGCTTTTGTTCCCTGTGTTTTGGAGATCGTGTCCTCCAGATTCTTGCCCATTCCAATGGCCTCAATTTTAAATGAGATTAGACTATTGCTTTGGGAGTCACTCATACTTTGGGAGAACCATATATATTAATTAGTCATTTTTCTCCAGACTGTAATTAATGTTTGGAAATAAATCAGATCACTTACTGGGGCTACATATATAAGTCAATGATAAAGTTCAAGCCTAGCATGTGCAAGACCTGGGTTTGATGGTTAGCACTGCAAAACTAAACAAATCAAAACCTTAGAGGAAGCATTAACCTTTCAGACCATTAAGATAAAGTATGATGAAGTATATGACATAGTACCTAAAAATGCTGTACTGCTGTCAAAGTATCAAACATAACCAGATAGCAACTATAAATACAGAGGTTCTAAGAATAATGTTTACTGACATTCAATAATAAGTAAGCAAAATTCCACATCAAACAAAAATTCTCAACTTTAAAAATGCACTAGATAATTTTTCATTTCAGAACACAGTCCCTTGATGTAATTCTATGCCTTTATAACATAGATATATATAACTGCTCCCATCTATAAAAAAAATGATATATTCACAGAAATTTACTTCTCTAAGAATCAGACATAAGCAAAACAACAACAACAATAATAAAACATGCCACTACTATGTTATGAAAAAAATATAACATTAGATTTATGGTATATTTCATTTTAAAGACTGTGTCTAATACATACAAATGAAAAAAATACATGCATAAAGACTATGTATTAAAAGAGGAAGGGGAATCCACTTCAATTGTTGCACAAGTCCAGGACCTCTGAAAAAAAATGAGGAACCAGGCAAACATCTCCCCACAAAACTCAGAATCTTCTAAGAAAGGATCCCACAGATACAGAAGTGGATGAGAAAAATGATAAAAATGGATTATTCCATGAACTAAAAAAAGATCTAAGGAATGAGCTAAGAGAGTAGATGCAGGAGATGAGACCATTCATTAAAGAAATAGAAATAGTAAAAACAAACCAATCAGAACTCTTAAAAATAAAAGATATAACAAATCAAATTAAAAATTCACTTGAAAGCATCACCAACAGATTAGACTGTGTAGAAAATAGAACTGCAGCCCTCAAATACAGAACATCAGGCCTTGAGAACAGAATACACGAATTTAAGTATATGGAATACAATAAAAGGAAAAAAAATACAGAACATGATCAGAGTATACAGGAAATTTTGGACATCAAGAGACCAAACCTGAGAGTCACTGCGAGAAGAAAATGTGGAGATAACAAGCTAAAGGAATTAAGAACATTTTCAATGAGACTGTTGCAGAAAATCCCCCCCTGCCAGAAATGAGATAGACACACATACAAGAGGTATATAGGACCCCAAAGAGACCTGACCAAAACAGAAGTTCTTCAAGACACATCATAATCAAAATGCCTAACTTAAAAAATAAGGAAAAAAATATTAAAAACTGCAAGAGAGAAACATCAGGTCACATTTAGAGGAAATCCAATAAGACTCACTTCTGACTTCTCTACAGACACTAAAATCAAGGAGGGCCTGGAATAAGATATTCCAAGCTCTAGAAGAAAATAACTGTCAGCCAAGATTGATATACTCAGCAAAACTATCTTTCATATTTAATGGGAAAATAAAAACTTTCCAGGACAAAGATAAAGTAAAATAAATAAATAAATAAATAAATGCCAATTAAGCCAGCACTACAAATAATCCTCAAAGATAAATACCGTGCAGAGGAACTCAAAAACAAAATCCAAAACTCTCAAATAAGTGAAGATCAATTAGGGAAAATTTTCTGCAACTAATCATTAAATGAGAATCAAGACAAAATTAAATATGACCCAAAAAACTCAGCAAACCAAAAACATATCCATAATAACATTGAATGTAAGCGGTCTTAATTCTCCAATTAAAAGACATAGATTAGCAGAAAGGATCAAAAAACAAGATCCAAATATATGCTATTTTCAAGAGACTCATCTCATAGGCAAAGATGCTCACAGGCTGAAGGTAAAAGGATGGGAAAAAAATATTCCATGGAGTTTGAAAACGAGCTAGAATAGCCATCCTGATATCTGACAAAGCTGATTTCAAGCAAAAACAATAGAGAAGGCCATTACATCCTGGTAAAGGAAATGATCCACCAAGAAGATATAACAATAGTAACTATATGTACCCCAAATGTCAATGCACCCAGTAACATTTAAAAAATACTCTTTGACATTAAATCCCAGATAGATCTCAACACAATAATATTGGATAATTTCAATACACCCTTATCATCAATAGACCGGTCATCAAAGTACATAATCAATAAAGATATTTCCAACCTAACTAATACTATAAATCAAATGGACCTAATAGACATTAACAGAATATTTCACACCAAAACTGGTAAATTCACCTTCTTTTGGCAGCTTCTGATCACATTACAAGTCTTAGCAAATATAAAAAGATCAATAAAATTCCATGCATTCTACTGTACCCTAATGGAATGAAACTAGAAATCAACAGCAAGAAAAACAATTAAGCAATACTCTTTTAAATGAGGAATGGATCAAAGAAGAAATTCTTACAAACAAATGAAAACAACAATACATTAAAATCTTTGGTACAGTATGAAAACAGTAACAAAAGGAAAATTCACTGCTCTGAGTGTCTACATTAAAAATACAGAGAGACCACAAATAAATAAGCTCTACCTCAAACCTTAGAAAAAGAAAAGAAAAAAAACTCGAAAGTCAATGTAAGACAAGAAATAATAAGAATCAGAGCCAAAATTAATGAAATTGAGAATAAAAAATTACACAGGATCAATGCAACAAAAGTTGGTTCTTTGAAAAGATAAATAACATTAATAAACCTTTAGTCAAATTAACAAAAAGAGAGAGAACCAAATTAACAAGATTAGAGATGAAAAAGGGAATATTGCCACAGATACTTTTAAAAAGTAACTACTAAAGCGTCACACTAAAGCTCAAGAAATAAAAATAAAAATCAGTAAGTGTGATGCTGTCAAATTAAAAACCTTCTGCACTGCAAAGGTAATGATTAAGAGAGAGAAGAGAGAGAGCCTACGGAATGGGAGAAAATCTTGCCAGCTACTCCTCTGACAGGGAGATTAATATCCAGAATATATAAAGAACTCAAAAAACTCAATGCCTAAAAACCAAATAGCCCAATCAATAAATGGGCAAAGAATTAAATAGAAACTTCTCAAAAGAAGAAACATATAAGGCTAAGAAATATATGAAAAACTGTTCAGTATCTCTAGCAATTAGGAACTACACTAAGATTTCATCTCACTCCAGTCAGAATGGCAATTATCAAGAATGTGAGGGGCTGGGGATGTGGCTCAAGCGGTAGCGCACTCGCCTGGCATGCGCGGGGTGCTGGTTTCAATCCTCAACACCACATAAAAATAAAATAAAGATGTTGTGTCCCCCAAAAAAGAAAACTAAAAAATAAATATTAAAAAATTCTCCCTCTCTCTCTCTTTAAAAAAGAAAGAATGTGAATGATAATAAATGCTGGTAAGGATGTGGGAAAAAAGGCACACTTTT